TTATCCATTCATCTGTTGATGGACATCTAGGCTCTTTCCATAGTTTGGCTATTGTGGACATTTCTGCTATAACCATTGGGGTGTACGTTAGGCTGAGTTTTAGATTAAGGAATTGTGTGCCTTTGTTAGAAGTAATAAAGGCATTGTGATTTTATATATATATATATATATATATATATATATATTCCCATCTGTTAAAGATGATATGATGTCTCAGACTTGCATTAAAGTACCCTAGAGGGGAGAAAAATCAATGGGGTGATAGGTGAAACAAGATTGGCAAAAATGTTGATAATTCTTCAAGCTAGATGATGGGTATGTTGGGATTTGTTTTAGTATTCTTTATAATTTTGTGTACCTGTAAGATTTTTCATAGTAAAAAAATGTTCTACTGATGTATAACATTAACATGCAATGTTATATTAGCTTCAAGTGTACAACATAATAATTCTAATTCTGTACATTACTCAGTGCTCACCAGGATAAATGTAGTCCTTATCTGTCACCGAACAATACATAGTAAAAACCTTTTTAAAAAGAAGAAAATCAGGTTGTAAAATGTCTATAAATAGAGTTTTCTTTTTAACAAAGTAATTCAAAAATACTCAGGGAAACAGTGATAAATAAGTGCATGCTATTGATGTTCTTTAGAGAGGCCAAAGGATGCCAGGCTCAGGAAAGATTAAAAACGAAGATCATAATGTAGCAGCTCTGAGTCTCATTTCAATAGGCAAGGGAGGACTATTCGGGCTGGCAGGAAATTCCGTTTTATTTTGTCTTTCTTGCCACTTCTATCTCCCCTCCCCCCATACACACCCAAAAGCTATGCCCAGATTTGGTGTCTTACATAGTCTCACACCTGTGGGGAGGCCATCCTGGTTATTGGTCGTATGTCAAGGTGACCTTTGTCCTGCGTTCCTGGTCCCTTCAGAGTGTGGCTCTGCTGGGGCACAGCGTCTGTGGTGGACCCAGAACCCCGGCAGCCATCCCCTAGGGGCAGGCTCAGGGACCGTATATAAGGCCTGCTCATCTCAGGCTGGGCCAGAAGTCTCCGTCTCCCATTTCTCTCTTCCCCTCTCTTGTCAGGATGTCTTGAGTAAGCACTGAGTGGGTCAGGCTTTTGCAAATGACAGTAAGAGTGATGGAGCTCAGGTTGCTGCCCCTTTCTGCCCTGACAGACGTAACCAAGGAAAGCAGTCGCAAAAGCTGGCTGCTCGCTCCCTGCTTGAAACGCGTATGTTGGGAAGATGGGGGAGATACAGGGAGAAGAACTGTGGAGTGATGGTTCTCTGTATTCTGCCACAGTGAGTTTGTCCGTCTTGAAAGGATTCATTCTTTTGGAGGAAAATACACCAGGTTAGATTAATAAGGAAGTTTCTTCTGATGAATAAGAAGGAGGTGTTCTTGGTCAGGTGAGGAAAACTAAGGAGTCCCTTGGGAGAGATACGATTGTACCTGGGTCACAGAGAAAGGTAGGAAAGCAAAAAGAATTCTAAGCCAAGTTTATTCCTCACACATAATGGGTATGGATAAGTAAGATGGTGAGCAAACAAGTTACTTTTAATGAAAAAACCTCAAAGAGAAAGGAAAAGACGATGTGGCCTCAGTGTTGGGAAGGAAAGGGACTTTCGGATAGGCCGAGGCCTATGACTTGTGTCCTGCTTAGGTCCCATAGCACTGAGGAAAAGGGTTGGGGGCCACATCCTGAACATGGCTGAACTGTCTCTAGGCACTTTCAGTCACAAAACACAATGACTTCACAAACACCCACTTGGGTTTGTCTGTCTCTAATCTCACTCATCATTTTTTTCCAATTTCCAAATTTTTCCTTTCCTATTCTTTCTTTTAAAAGCCCCTCTAGGGGCGCCTGGGTGGCTCAGTGGGTTAAGCATCTGACTCTTGATTTCCACTCAGGTCACAATCTCAGGGTCATGAGATCAAACCCTGTATCCGGGCACTCAGCATGGAGTCTGCTTAAGATGCTCTCCCTCTCCCTCTGCCCCTCTGCCCCACACCACTCACTGTATCAAAAAATAAAAAATAAGGGGCACCTGGGTGGCTCAGTCAGTTAAGCGTCTGCCTTTGGCTCAGGTCATGATCTCAGGGTCTTGGGCTCTTGGCTCAGTGGAGAGTCTCCTTCTCCCTCTGCCCCTCCTTGTGTGTGCTCTCTCTCTCTCTGTCTCAAATAAATGAAATCTTTAAAAAAAATGAAATAAATAAAAAATAAAAGCCCCTCTAAAGTCAGTAGAAACGTAAACTGTATATTTGTACCCTGGATTTGTATACATCTGAGCTCTTTGGCCACCCTAATGCCTCCTAGTACAGAAAACAAAGAGAAATTGAAAATTAATGTGAAGGTATGTAACTCCAAAATGTGCCAGTAACTCTGAACGATATGATTTTGTGTGTATTTGATCCTTACTACTAAAAGATCAGAGGTAGAAAAGAATAATAAGGGGGAAACTATCTTAATCATGAAGCCAGCTCTCTTCTGCCCAGCTTCCCAACCTGTTCTATGGGTTTTAAATGGATGCTTTAAGTGTCATATGCTTTCAGCCACAATGCTCAAGGTTAGCACTTGAGAAGTGATGTGTTTTCCATTGCATGCAGTATTCTTATTATCAAAGTAAAACTGTGAGATTTAACATACACCATTAGTGTAATGGATGGAACACGACACTTATCTGCTAGATGAAATCATCAGTGTCATCCGACCCTCTACCTTCCTTTTCAATGAAGCATCAGCACCAGACTTTGTGTACTTTGTTATTACACCATTTTGAGTTCACTGTTGTTAAAGTGTAATCTTTTTAGAAAATTCACATTCCCCTTTTTTGGATTACCATTTAGTTTTCTATTAGGCTGTGTGTTTATTATGTTTAAAAACATAAGAAAATTTGTACAATGCAGGGACCACTTTTTTTCATATATAAAAATTGACTCTACTCTTACCACCCAGAGATAACCTTCATGGTTAACGTTAGGGGATATAATCTTCTTGACTATTACATATAGCTTTTTTTTTTTTTAATGTAAGAGGTACCTGTCCATACTGTATTGTACCTTGCTTTTTCAATTCTATCGAAAAGCTTTGCCTATTATCCTTCCTAAGCCTCAGTTTTAGTGACTGCATAAAAATTTCAATGTGTGACTGTGTAAGAGTGTACATAACCAGTTCCCAATGATTTAACTTTTGGTGTAATTTTAATTTGTCATTTTTAATTTGTGGTGTAATTTTTCATGGTATCTCAGAGCTTTTGGTTGAACTGTGAAAAAGTAAATCCACAGTTTTTTCATGAAAAATGATGGAGAAATATTAATCAACGTATGGAAACTCACTGTTTATATATCTGCTTAGGGAAATACTTTCTTGCCTGGAGAGACAACTATAATTGAATATATTTGTGGCAATCATTTATAATAAATTTAATAATATTAATTTTCTGAAATCCTACTAAGATTAAATATACTGAAACTCAAATGTTTTATTCAATTTAGGAGAGCACAAGCTTCATTTTATTCCTGCCTTGATTGGCCCTTTCCTAGAAGTGACCTTGATACCCCAGCCAG